ATAATAATAATAATAATAATAATTGCTTACACTTATATAGCGCTTTTCTGGACACTCCACTCAAAGCGCTTTACAAGTAATGGGGACTCCCAGGACTTAATGTATGCAAGACAAACGGGGTCAATTGAAAACATTCTTAATGACACTATAAATATGTCTCACCTGCTGTCACAATTTAATATCCACTGTCCTTAACGGCCTGTATATCAGTTGTATATAACAACCATCTGGTCAGCATTCTGATTGCATTTCCATATCAGTTTAATTATTCTGTTCCAAGAACAGGACTTTAAACCTCAAAGGGTATTGCTATGCAGTGTTAAAAAGGTTCACATCTATTTGTTTGTATTGCAAAGAAAAACCTCTGATTTACAGTGTTTTTTTAAGCAGGGGGGAGGGGGCTCTATGAATCATTTTATGTATAAGAATTTTAATGAAGATGGCTGGGATAATTGTAGCTGCTCTCTCGGTCTGAATTGTTAGAGATTTTGCTGGGCAAAGTGACTCCGCGGCTGTCCGGAGCCGGTGTTTGTGCGTGCTCCGTGTTGTGCCCGGAGCTTTGCCCGGGTTGCTGAATCTTCGTCAAAGCTTCTCCAGGGAGAAAAGGAAACCCACCCACATGCTTCGGCTTTGTTCTTCGGGCCCAAAGAGAAGCGGTTTAATGCCCTAGATCACCTCTCTCCCTCTCACCACCCCCCCAGTCCCAGCCTGCGGGTTGAGTCCCTTCTGCTGGTGGGCAGAGGCGCTGTTGTGGTGCGCTGTGCCGGAGACCCCCGTGGAGCGGAGTCTGGGGTCTAGAATCCGCCTGGGGGCGGGGGGCTAGGAAACGCAGCCTGCCCTTCGTCCCCGGGAGAGGCGGGACCGCTCCCGGGGCCGGAGGAAATGGAAATTCAACATGGAGGCGCTGCGTCAATATTTTCACGGAAACTTTTTTTTTCTCTCCCCCTGTGTGTCCAGGGAGCGGCCAGGTGCGATGTTGTTCGGGAGAGCGCACAAACATTTCCAAATGGAAAACGGATCCCCCCCCCACCAATCCCCCACCCCCTTCCTACTCCTCCATCCTTTCCCCAGCCTGGTCTTTCAAGGTCAGAAAAGTGTGAGCTGCTCTCCAGGCCAGTCCCTCTGCGGCTATATGTCTTAAGATGAAGCTTTTCATTCGCGCAGGGGTGGTTGTGCAGCAGTGGTTTGACTTTATAAGGCCGCAGCAGCAGGAGCCATTAAGATAAAGTGTTGGCTATCAGTCCTCTGGAGGCCGGTGTGTCAGGAGGATTAATAGGTTAGCTCTGAGAACGGACCGCTGTGCGCTGGCTCGGTTCTCACCCGCTCTTTCCACCTGTCCTTCGCACCAGCCGGTGGTGTGCCCCCCCAACCCCCCCACCCCACGGTCGCGCTCGCCCTCGCCAGCTGCCGGCTGCCGGTTGGGTGCGCGATCAGCCAGGAAGTTTGTTTCACCTGCAGGTGATTACGACCTGCCCCCCCTCAGGTGAAGCAGGCTGCTTGAGGGCTGGGCTGGTAGAGCTCTGTGACAGCGTTTGCTCGGTTCCTCTCAAGTCCAGCACTTCTCTAGATCCC